TTAGTGACCTTTTTTTTTTATTAACTCGAATGATCTTACAAACGCTAGTTTGTCTTGTGTTTCGTTGAAGAGGTTTTCCCTAGATGAAACGCATATACTCAGAAATCAACATGTACTTTATTTTTATTTTATACTGAAAAAGTAAAGTACATTGCTTTACTTTACTTTACTGGATAAAGCAAAGTTAGAAAAAGAAAATTTTTTATATGTAGATAAAAAATTCAACATTTCTAAACTTTACTTTACTTAGTAAAGCAAATATAAAGTGCCATCTGTATTATAGAACTGTAATATCTTTAAACTTCTATTCTTCATATCTCAGAGCAGTAGAGTCATGCTGCAGGTGTAAATAGTTGTTCGTGTGATTTTTGTGAACCAATAGACAACATGCATGAATATTGTCACTCTATGGAGGAAGAAATGAAGAAAAAAAGGGAAAAGTGACTACTTTACAGCTATCAAATTCTGTATCAATTATGTAAAAATGTGTATTGAGTGTGTTTGTTTTGATCTTTTCATCAAGTCAAAGAGTCAGAGTGTGTGTTGATGTGCTGTGGCTGTTCTTATGTGTGTTTCACCTTCCAACACTGTCTAACATCTAAACCAATACGAGATCAAATCTATAACTTACACTTGATACCTTCTAGGTTTTATCATTGCTTTTTTGTAATATTTCATGATTGATAGTCACGCTAAAAAAATGGTTTCGGGTCTGAATCAAATGATGGAGAACAAAGGTCCAAAATATTTCGAAGTGCTCCAAAACGTCCCCCATCTTTTCATGTGATTCCGATGCACCTGGACTAAAAATGATTTTGAAGGGACGTCTTTGATGCATTTTCGCAAAATCATGGCATTAAATATGCATTAATGCAGGAATTTTCTAGAATATATCATAATGCCTGAAATGATCTACATCATTGAGAAGCTATAAATATCATTCAGAAATTATACTACATGAACATATTTATTTTTCAAAATCATCTAAACGAGATACTATTTACTCAGATCGGACTTAAAATTTATTTAGAGTTACTTATCAACAACTCCATCAGTTATACATACAACATCTATTAATCACGGAAGCTATACCAAGACAAGGCGTATATTGAATCAAACAAAAAATCCAAGAACACTCTTTGTGTCGGGTATAACAAGTAGTGTGAGTAAAACTCATATGCGTAAGTATTTTACTGGCTGTATCAAAGTAACAATGAAGCAATATCGTACAACACCATATCTAAGGTATGTTATAAACACTTTATTTATTGCATAGTTGAACTACTTTTTTTGCAATAGATATGCTTTTGTTGTTCATCGTACGCATCAAGAAGCCAGGCGTAATCTTCAACGACCCATAAATTTGCGTCTTCTTGGCCCTAAATGTCATGTTGAATATGCTACGAACTGTTCAAATCTTTCCGACGACCGTCCAGATTTTGCCAACAGGAAAATTGTGGTCACTCGAATACCTGAAAATGTTAGTGAGAGCGACTTGCGCCATTTATTCGTCAATTGTCATATACTGAAATATTGTCCAGCACACACTGTCTATTATGCAGTCATGACGAACAAAACCAAGAACAACAGTAAAATTTTATCCGGGTACAAACAGTTATTTTTACAGATTTGAAAAGTATTACTTCTACTCTTCATTCTATATAGAAATGTAAGCGGATACAATAATCAGTAGTGGCGACAAGAACTTTTAGATAATAATGTTAAAATTAGTTTATTTTTGCGAGATTTAGAGATAGAAAAATACGAAATGATGATAAACACTAGCAGTACTAGACCATTATTAATTTTTATCTCGATTATTCAGTAATTGCCAATAATTATTATTAATATTTAGTACCGTTTATCAGCGTTTCCTTTTCTCATTATTTTAATGATATTAAAGTTTTTATTGTTTCTTACTGACTAAAACATAAAGTAATTTCTTATTATTTTATTACTCAATACTCTGATTAATTACCAATTTTGATTACTCATTATTAGTAATAAGTAACTAAAAATCAGTAAGTAAGAATAGTAATCACTAATAAAATGATAAGAATAACGAGTAATAAATTATCACTGTAGCAAAGTAATAACAAAACAATAAATATAATGGCACAGATAAGAATAACATGCACATACTACAATAAAATGTGTAGCGTTTATGGCTCGATAGTGATAATGTAGTAGGTAACTCTAAAAAAAAATGTTTCATATTTTACATGTGTCTTAGTCAATATGATAAGCATTCATTCACCCGTTCTATTTTGTGCACACAGTTACATATAGACAACTTAGTTGAACATGCTAAATTTATAACCAATTTCATTTCTCTTCCTCTAGATTATTTCTTGGATAATCAATATTCGAGCATATGTGTAGAAGTTGATCGATGATTCCATGCTGGAACCCCATTGCATCTAACAGTGTAGGTGTGACTGTAGTTGTAGGTTAGATTTTGCTTAATCGTGCAGGCGTTGATGTCAGTGACCATGTTGGGTGTGGATGGATATGAATGAGGACGCAGAGTCTATGTATTCTTGTAGACCTTCGGCTGAATGTCGAATAGCATGTTTCATGTGTATATTGAAGAGTGGGTGTGAGTTTGGATCAGTTTTAGTTTGTGACTGTATGTGCAGGTATATGTATAGATACAGTTGTGTGTGATTCAGGACGTGAATGTTAATGCCGTGTAATTGGCAGTTGTAGATAGGAGTGTTTTGAGGTGACCAGGATTGATGAGCTATAAAACGAATAACATGCTGGAACTTTGGCAGGGACGGCGAAAATTTTTTATGATTGCATGAGTCCCGACTCCGTCAAATCTGGATGTGGATTTGGATAGAGTTTTACTGTAGGTGTAGCACAGCGTGTGGGGTAGATATGCATAAAACTCATTGTACAAGAATCACGACGAACTTTCGATATAGCTCGTAAATCGAAAGTTTTAGGTTGGAATGGAAATCATCCCACTTTGTGGAGCTAACGTTTTGAGGAATATTGCCAAAGTTTTAGACTTAATGAATAAATCTTGGCTGAAATATGATAAGTTGACTAAAAGCATCCACACTACTTTTTTTTATCAATCAGTTATTTGAAATGTTTTAACGATATCTCCTCAATAGTAGCTGTTAGAGTTGTGAAGTGAGCAATCCAACCATGCTATCCAATAAAGTCCATATGATGACTAAGTGTCACTGAACGTTTTACTTGAGTTCTACTTTCCTTATATGTTAGGCTCAAAAGGAGTCTATCTTTGCGACAGACTTTTGTCAGATCAATGTGATAGAATTAACTCAAACTTTTTTACTGATGATTAATAATTTGGTGCTACTTGAAACGTGCACTCAAAAGTTTTGGATCTTGAAGTTTGACCTGATAAGTGTTATCAAAAAATATCCCTTTTTTCTTGGATGATTACAGACCATTTAGTTTTATTATGGCATTATATATTATTTACTATGTTAAAACTATCTTTCTACTGAACAAAATCCACTGAGCATTCATTATAAAATACTGACGCATCAAATGTAAGCATTTTCTAAATTGATCTCATCTTTCTAATCAGCTAGATTTCAAGTCTGAAACGTTCGAGTATATAATTAACCCGATTTTCTCTTATTCTTTTTTACAGATATGCTTTCATTCTTTACGATAATGAACAGCAAGCAGCTAGGGTGATTCAACATGCTGATCAATACCGCATTAATGGTCAACTGTTACATGTCTCCTTGTTTCGAAATAGAAAAACAATCATGTACAACGATAAAAAAACTTATCGTTGATTAATAACGTGTTTTTTTTTCTTAAAATTCTCTATTATGTAATTTTAGTGAAAAATATATATCTTTTTTATATATTCGTGCTAAAAATAGACAAAATTTGATGTCTTTAACAAAAAGCTTGTTAGCACAGCTCCTTTGGAGCTGAAATGTGGAATTCACATATATCCTTAAACTTTAATATTCTAATACATGACATGTAAACTGAAAAATTTCGTATACATTTTAGTTGTTTTCATTGATAATCAATGACAAGAGCGAGACTTTGTTATTTATTTCTACATTTAAAACAGAATTTGTTTTTGTTTGAGAGCGTCCTATTGTTATTTTGCATTGTTGCTATTCGCTTATTATCTTTCATTTTTTTTTAAATCGTTTTTCATAATTCAACATTCTTATTATTATAATCATTGGATTACACATCTATGATATCTACAGAAGATCTTACGCACTATTATATATATTAATCATCTCACAAACAATGATGTTGATTATCTTTCAAAATTACAACTTGATACACCTGTTATTCCTGATTGTTAAAGTCTGTAATGGGAATGGAAGGAGGGGGAGCTGCGAGAACTTAAAACTTACACTCACTATTTTCTTCGAAAATATATGTGGGTTCCACAATACTCGTCTTCTGTTTTGTAAATAAATTTTTACTTGCTTCTTGGTAAAATATCCTTGTCATATCACTAACATCCTAACAGAACTATTTCAATAAATCGATCCATAATAACAATTGATGAAAGTATTTTTATATACTTAGGTTTTTTTTTCAAAAAGTTAATTTTACTATATAACACAAACTGATGAAACTCATAAATAAACTTATTAAATTGTTCTTGACTTTCACAAATTAAGTTATTGTCGTGTGGATGAAATATAATCACCAATAGTATTATGAAGCAGAGATGTCCATCGCGGCTCAAAATCTGCCGCTGCCGCGACGCGTCTTAAAAAAAACTTGCCGCTGCCGCGATGGTATTCGAAAAAATGTTTTGATTTTCAAGGCTGTGACTGGTTCGAACTAGAACTGATGCCGCTAATCGATCAGATTCGTTAAGTCTTACAGTATAGCATACATGAACATGCAGATTCTGTGCAAATTCATGAATTTTTGAAATTTTTTTTCTAAAAAAGTTGCTGCCGCGACGGTAAAATAAAAATCTCTCCCGCGCCGCGATGGACATCTCTGTTATGAAGTAAAACCGACTGTTATTGCATAACTTTTATCTAAAGACAATTCATAAATAACAAAAAAAAAAAAACAAATAATTTAAAAATATAAAAACAAACTCGATTATAATCACGTAAACTTAATTTAACCGTAACATCAGCTTTTAATTTTTTATCACGTTCTTTGAAATGATGATATAGTCGTCTGTATGATTTTTAGCTAATACTGTATCATAACCGTATCGATATGTATCAAATTCAATTCTATGAAAAAAAAATATTAATAAAAATGATCTTGCTTCTTCGTATGGTTTGATTATTAATAATGAATTTTTCATTGTTTTTGTTGTTAATGTTTGTAGTGTGTCAACAAATAAATTCATTGAATTTAAATTTTTATAGATAAGATTTAATTTTACTTGATAAATATCTCCATTTTGTGCTACAATTTTTTGACATTCATAATAATTCGATATAAGATTGACCTTTAAATTATATATCCTTTTTTTAATGCAAAGATTATTCATCTAACTTACTAACCGAATATTTTATTTGAAGAAGGCTAGCAAAATTTATAGTCATTTATCAAGCTTCTTTCAATAAATCTTTATTTCTCACAAAATAAAAAAAAACAAAATAGTAAAATACATCTCTAAAGAAATTGTTGAGGTAAAGTATCTTATATTTTTCATTGCTGCGTTTATTTAGATTTTCAAACTGTCTCAATTGATCAACTTTACACTGTCACTAGTTGATCGGTCATAAAATTATCGAAACTGTTTTATGTCATTCTTCTCTTCAACAAATCATTCTGTCGAAAAGCTTGAAGTCACATTTTTTTTTCATGGCAAAGCAATTCACCAGTCAATTTAGTTGGTTTTCCCTTCAGTTAAACTGATTTATGTGATCTCGAATTTTCATGGTATAAAAACTGATCATCTCCATTATAAATTCAATAGCAAAATACTTCTACCTTTTACACCGAAAAGTATCATGTCCGTTACTTTGATCCTGATTTTAAGAATTAGAAGTTACATTCGTTAGTCGAAGTTTTATCTGCTCTGCTTTTGTTAGTTACACTAAAAATTAAAGGTTTTTGTTGTTGTAATAACACTATTGGCTGATAAAATATCTATATGTGGGATCAAATGTTGCAAGACTTGAAGGCATTACAGCGGGTCACTATCGACATCCATATTGCTATACCGATAAGTTTGAGGGAAAACAGTGTCAAAACGTTCAACGAAGTGGCAGCGCAAAAAATTTAAACATGCAAACGAATAAACCTGAGAGTCAGACGAAGAACTACAAAACCAGGTTTGAAATGTATCCAGATTAGTGCTTTGCTTAACATGGACTAGACTATTGATGAACTTTAAGAACATTACCTTAGTCATTGTATTTGATTTGTTAAAGATTTGTGTAAAAGTTTTTTTTTGCTATGATCGTTATTCGAAAAATAAATTCACGACTGTTTATTGTAAATTCTTTATTCTCATGTTGCACAGTAGCAAAACAAATATATAAAGAATTATTCTGAAGTAATATTGATATTTTCTAAAAATAATCAGAATCGATAAAAGGAATAGATAACAGATGTGACATACGAAACCTCTAGACAATGTATCACACAGAACATAACGTAAACAAAAAATTAGTCATAAATATCAATAAATGATTAAGACAAAGAAAAACGTAGTAGCTATGCCCACTCCTCTTCAGATGATTCTTTTTGTTTTCAATCAATAATTTGCGATGGTGTGACAAACAATGAATGACGATGAAGAATATCGACGTCATAGTGATTTGACTAGATTCGAACTTATTTTGAAACAAAAAGATGATGAAGTGCTAAATACATAAAGAAAAATCAAAAACTTATTTTTTTTTATTATAAGATGACAACATCTTCAATTCGTGAAGAAATTTAACAACTTGAAGAGCATGAAAACGAATTAGCTTCGAATCAATGTGGTGTACGTATTAAATTTGATGATGAACAACTTCCTTGAATTACACAAACAACTGTTATTAAAACTGAAATTTATTTTCAAATTAATTTCCACCAAAAGATGAATAGAATAATCGATTTTTCAGATAAATTTCATTAAGAACACCCATAAATCAGATATTTTTGAAGTAGAATATATTTTTATATTTAAAGTAAACAATACAATCGAACTTTTTATCATAAAATCAAATATTTTTCGCAGAAAAAAGATACATCACATAAGCCAAATGAAATTTATAAAGAAATTTATCAAAAAAGTTTCTTCTTCATCTAGTAAATCTATTCTTAAAATGCTTCTAGGAAAGAAACAGTGTTAACATTGACATCTGATCGATCGTCGATTTCTCGTTCATCTTCTTCAATTTCTTTAAAGCAGAAACAAACAATCTTCTAATCGTTCTGATTGCAATCAAGTTCAGCATTTCTCTGAAGTGTAACAGCCAAATAAAGATCTATCATCTCAATCATTTTCTTCTTTTCATTCACTTTTCGAATATTTGATTCATTAAATTCATCTTGAGGATATCGGTAAGTATAAAAGTTGAAAGCAGTCACGATACATGTGACGATCCTGCTTAATGTCTTGTCCTAATCAATTAACCTACAACTATCCATGAATGATAGTGAGCACTTGTGTCTTTTGGTGTTATAGACAATATGGTCTATCATTCACTTTATTAATCGTAAACAAACATATTCGAATGGAAGATCATGTCAAGGGTGAGATGTGAGTATGAGCTACCACCACACTTCTTACTGCTGCTCAAGCAAATCATTAAGTGGCAAAATCTCTAATTCAATTTAATTTCTAAAGAATGGAAACGAGTGAAAAATCATGAATCACTTATAGTCGTATATGAATTGCTGTTATGTATTAATGTTATTTTTCACGATATCTATTAATAAAACTTGAAAAAGGTACTTAGTTCACTTTATATGTTTGAATAAATTTGATGAATAGTGTACCGTCTGTGAATAATAACAGTAAAGTATTATAGGAAATTGCACAGAAAAGAATTTTTTTATCTGAGAAAAAAGTGGTATCTATCGTAAAGATAAGAATAAAAGATAGTTAACTACTTATTATTATCGTTTATATCACTTTCTGATAAAGTTAAGAGACGAGGATGTCAATGTGAATCTGACTCTGTGTGTTACTGGTTGAGGATTATGATCTTCTCATTACTCACACCTACATTCAAAAATTCTTTGATTTGTATTTTATTAGTAAAACGAAAAAAAAAATTTATCTATTAATATATTTGATTAAATATTTTAATATGACTTTATTCTAAAACGAGGATGTGGATGTAGATATGTCGATAGAGAGAAGAAACACTCATACTCTATTTATAAACCATTTTTATCACGAATTGTTACTCAAACACTTATTCGTTGTTGTTCATATCAATTAAAATCTATTTTTGAAGAACAATCACAGCATTTTGAACCAGATTTATCTATAGAAAAAGCTAAATCTGTTTTATATATTCATAAAGCAATTACTTATGAAAATTATAATCCATTATGGAAATCAATTTTAAGTGTGACTTCATTAAAAGTACAAAAAAAAAATATGTATATATATATATATATCTTTAGAATTTATTTTTTATTTTAAGGAATTTGATACAAATGTATATTCAATGTTTGATCAACAAAATATACTTGTATTATTATATGATGAAATAATTGATTCAATTTTACATATTATTGATCGACTTGATTTAAGCGTTGATAAAGAAAAAGCAGAGGTAGTTTTTTGAAAAAAATCTTTTTTTTTTGGATTATAAATTATATTTAGGATGAAAATGATGAGGATACTAGAACAACTGATCTGATCTTCGACATGCGACCTGTAAAAGCAAAAGATTTTCGATTTTTTTTTCGTAATCTTGTCGATTTTTGTTAGTAAAATGAAGAAAGTTAACAAAAATATTGAGTTAAATTAGACTTCACAGTAATGATCAATGCTGAAATATTGGAATACTCTCTCTCGGTTCACTTGATAAAGCGGCTATTCTAAGTTGCATGGAGATAGATGAATTCTACTGAACTGAAGTTATGGTAGAAAGGAAAAAAACTAATGAATCACACAATCAACAGAGAAGGAAGAGATGGCTGTTCGAAGAAGTCTTGAGTAGAAGACTTTAGTAACATCACTTTCAGTTATAGATCAAAGCTCAAAACGATTAGAGTTAAGTCACAGGAATTTCCTCGTGTGAGAACTTTGTAACGAAACTATCTATATGGGGAATATATACACAATAATCGGTATAAATTTTTATAATAGATGTGTTGGATAGCATCATGCTTACTTTTTTTTCTTTTAGTTACAAACATCCAACCACATTAGAGACTGAAATGGAGTGCTGAATAAGAACGAGGTCGAAGCGAGGAGCGACAAGGAAAAAACTATGAGTAAAGTGAGAAGTAAGGAATTTTTCTCGTTTCGATCTCTGTTATGAACGTCTATATTTCATGAAGGAAACACGGTGTAAATCGAGAAGAAACAGTTGAGATTTTGGTCTCGAAGACTTGGAATCATAGTTTTTTCTTCAATATCTATTGAAGACTACTGAAATTTTGAAATTCTTTATTTCTTCCTCGATGTAACCGGTAATGCTTGCGAAGATGGAGCGAATACGACATTTCTGCACAAAAGTCTATGAATAAATTTCAACATTCTATTTTGTTATATTCTTCATAGATTTCGTTTATTCATTTTTGATATTTTATTTTTTTTTAACTATTTTTCTCAGAAATTTATTATTGGATCAATTATCAAAATTATTTCAATTTTTATATGATATTATTTCTACATCAATAAAATTAGTCAGTAATATCTTAATTAAATAAAATAAATATTTTTATTTACATATTCATGAATTAGTGGTATATATCGATTTACTACATTTGTAATGAATATTTGTTTAAATTTTGATTATATCAAACTATTTCATAAATCGAAAGAAAAACTTCATTTTTATTTTAAAATTTTTCTAGTGAAATCGTTCAGTACCAACAACTTGTATTGGTATTGAAACGATGGAAAATGATACAAATGAAAACGAACAAATTACAGCTATTTGTGCACATGAAATACTGTCTCGACAGAAACAATATTGTAATGATTTACTTGTTTCATATTTACAATTTATAAAGTCATTAACATCAGAATGTATTGATTATGATTTTGCTAATTATGTACAAGTTATTCAAATAAAAATTTTGCCTTTTTTTTTGTTAGATTAGATTTAATCATAGTGATTTGTTCTTTTAGCTTGCTTTAATAGTAAACTTATGAAAAATTACAACTTAATTGAAAAAAGATTTACTTGATGATGTTTGTAGTTTTGTTTAACATTTTCAAGAGATGATTGATCCTCTTAGTGTGGATCAAAGGTCTAGCCTTTATCGAGTGATCCCCACTTAGACAGTAGTTGATAAATAAATGTGAAGTAAAGAAAGAAGATTTAACTGCAATAGTTCAATTAAAAGTATTTTAAGGTGAGAAAAATATCAAGTTATGTGTGTTTTTAAACTTGTCTATTTAAAACATTTAAGTTTTGTTTAATATGTTCTCTTCATTGTTATTTACTTCTATTTATAAAATTCTAGAACACCGTATGAAAAATACTTAGCCAATTACAGATGAACATCGATTGGCAACTATTTCGCATCCAAAACTGAAAAGTTTCGAAATTTGTTGTGATGAACAATTGAAATCTATGAACATATTAAAATTAGATTTTGAAAAATATCAATTAATTAATTCTTTATCTTGTATGAAATCATAAACTTCTACACATGTTAATTTGCAATGTTCTTCACCAATATCTACATCTATCATACAATAGCACTCAAGTGAAAGAACCTTTCAACATAATGCTTTGATACAAAAGTCGATGTAGTATTTAAACCACTAAATCCATATCTAGAAATTGATGTTTATTTAATTTCTGACCTCAGTCACAATCATGATGATGATGATATAAATGTATTATTACATTGAAGAAAAAAAACAACATTCATTTCTAGTTTTATCATCAATAGCGATACAAATATTTGTAATATCAACATCTAATACTGTTACTGAAAGGCTTTTTTTTAGCATCGAAAAATATTGTTACTGGAAAAAGAACACATTTGGATACCAAAAAGATCAATGAATTATTATTTTTACAGAAAAATGTCAATACTTTAAAACAAATGATCAACGATAATAATATAAAATGAGTTATATCACCATCGTCTACAACCATAGCATCTTCTGAAGAATCTACTTGCACAGTTTCTAAATAACAACGACTTGGTGTCGAAAATAGTTTAAGTGATTCTGACAACATAGAAGTTTATGCGGATTAGTTTATTCACTTTTTTGTGCTATTCTTTTGGAGTCCGGTGCAATTCACTAGTTTGTATGGGTACGCAGGTGTAGATGTTGGATAAAAAGAGACCAAAATCATACGCGCACTCAGATTCACATCGACAGTCACAATCACCCTCGTTCTCAATGTGTAATGCGTGCGTGTGTGAAAATAAATATTAGTGCGCATTTTCTCATCACTTCTCATTAAAAATATGCGAAACGCAAAGGAAGGCAAAATTATAGTGGAAGAGCAGGATGAAAGCACAGAATATGTAAGATAACGAACGCATCGTTACTAATTAAAATCATTTACCTTATGAAAATGCCACGCTTCATTGACGCATGTAAATATTGATATGTTGAAAAAAAACGCGAAATTTTGTCCACGATAAATACATAAGAGGCGTTTGCGAACACATATAAAACAAAATTAATATTTTGCAATATTTTTCATCACGTAAATATACTTTATTTTTATGATAACGAGTGGATCAGAGTAAATTAGACTGTTCGTATTTTTAATATTTCTTCTCTATTTTTCATTCAATTGAAACACTTCTTTTTATCAAAAGATACCACTTAAAGTTCTACACAAAATCACATTATTCATTTAGCAAATACAATTTCTTCCTTTTTGTTTTGGATCAAACGTTATCATACAATTAAAATAAGTATAGAATGTAAGTTTTTTTTTTCTCATGTTTTTTTTTTTGACAAAACACTTCGTTTTTGTCTATCAATGTTATCTTTGTTGTTATATGATCCCAATCCATAGCTTCAGCCAGTTCATCTCATAAAATATAATCTAATAGACATAAATCAGGCAGATTCAATGGCTAATGGTTCTTAGGCATGTGTGCAAAAAATGACCTGTACATCATTCTCCACTGAGGTAACACGTATGAACCTAAAAAAAATTCTGTTAATATCCAGTTTGCAAAATTAGCCTGCTCTTTTTTTGTAGATTAGCCATGGCTGACTCTTTGACCTTCTGTTATGGTAAATAGCTAAGGTTTTCATGGGTTAGCAACAGCACGCGCTTTGTTTCAACAGGCAGTTTTCTTATTAATACTCATCTCTTGAAAATGAGACACCATTTCACCTGGCGGATATTTACTTTTATTCGAACTGTGCATAGACAGTCGGGACTATATGACAAATTGATAGAGCCAGCATTGTAAATCATTTTTATCCATAATTTATTGGTTTGTAATGAAACTATTCCGGCAAAATCATGATAAATTTTCGCCGATCCACCACCATTTTCATATTTACTTGGTACAACTGTTTCTATGTCTTTATTTCTCACCTTTTTCTCAAATATATCTAAGACAATTTTTGATTTCAATCATATATGATTTTGTAGAGAATTTCAAGCGTCATCTTTTGATAAAAAAAAAAGATATCCCGATGTAATGAAGAATAGAAGAGGAATATTCAAAACACAAACAGTCTAATTTATTCTGTTCCATCCATTATTTAAACTATAGACAAAATCATAGTTAAAAGCTGTTAGTGCAATTCCTGAGAGATTATAATGTGAAACACGATGTAGGTGCTCTTGGTAATTACAGGAGATTGTCATAATCTATCTCTTTCGCGACACATTCCTAAACTATCCTTTTACTTATTCTTCCAAAAGTGGAATTAGGAAATAGCTCGTATACTATAATAAGACATCATTGACTTACAGTCTGTGACCGTATATCAAAACGTCTTGCACCGTCGGTCGTGGAGCCCTATGTTGTCTGTCGTAGTCTGTAATCGAGTTCTAGATTGTCTTAATAATTATTTTTCAATGCGCCAACAATTAATTATTTATTATTTATTAAGTAAATAGTAATTAGTGACTAAGTAGTTATATTAATTAGTGATTAATTAACTATTAATTAAAATGTTTGTGACGGTCTGTGGAAGGGGAAGTGAGTCCAAATCTCTATCCTATATACTTCGACAGTCCTTTTAGATCGTGTTTCACAAAAAGAATTCAGGTAGATGAGATCAAGTCGATTCCATCTGCCCAAAGAGTCATAGCTGTTAATGACTTTCCTAAATAAAAATTCTGAATCCTTCTAGTGTCTAGATGCATCTCTACCTTTTTTATTAGCCTTCTGTTGAGGATCATTTTATTGGTTTAATCATTAATAATATTAATGGAATATTTTAATAATTATTAAATATTTCTAACTAATGTTTTAAAAGTATTTTTTCTCTGAAGGATAAGTTGTTTTCTAAAAAAGTACATTACTAATGAAAACGTAGAAGAAGATTTCACGAAAAAAAAGGACTAGAGAGCCAGGTATTTTTCAAAATTATAGCTTCGTCATTTCTAAAAGTGAATACGGCTGCGGAATTTGAGTATGGATGCGGGTGTGGATCGACTTTATATCCACACCTATACCCACATCCTCATATCAACTCCTATTGCATAACTAGTTTACAGACTGGGATGTGTTCGGCCAAAGTTAGCCTATTCGAACCCACTTCCCGATTTCGATACTAGTCTAAACTCAAGTGTTTTTTGAATGGACTAAGGCGATCTCATTCATTTCTCAATTATGTCACTATGGCTAATATGTTTTTCTCATACATTTCAGCGTTGTTTCCACGAATAAGAGTTATTATTTTACACACTTGAGTGATATTGATTGAATTAGTCTTTTGGTTTTCTTTTTGTAAGTATGTGTATTAGTGACGCTGTAAAAACATCCAACGAAAGTATTCAATTCTGATTTTAGTCATACCAACGTGAGAAAAAAGCATTTACTCACCGAATAAGTATATTCGACAGTATTCAAATCAGTGACGAATTCATCATCGATAACTATTACTAAAATATACATTTGTGAAATTCGTTGTGAAGAATTCTTCGATAATGGGTATTTTTGATTTACACGAACCAGAAGATGGACGTGATCGATTCTTCCTGTATGCAATGATTATTCTTCCATTCTGCTCCGCTAGTTCCTACGCCTTTGATGCATGGTATCACTATATGCATCCCCCTACAGGACGCAACTATATAGGACTATTGTCGACGGTTGTCATCATCTTCTCTTATTTACAATACTGTGCTCCTATTCGATCTCGACGTTTGTTGGCCATCTATCATATACTTTTGTGGATCATAAACCAATTCGCTACACTAGGCTATTTGATCTACTATATCAAGGAACATGAAAAATTCAAAATTTTTGTTTATATTGGATTTTTCATAATCGAGACTTATTTTACGATCGGTCTCCTATATTGTCGAGTTTTCAAGGGGCTAGAATCACATATCATTGTCGAAAATAAGCATCTCTTTCATTTTATGTCTCGCTTAGA